CAAAAACATGCTCTTTTCGTTATGTTAATTTCATAATTTGGCTCTTTAAAAACGGACTCTTGAACCCCCGAGCCATTGATGAAATCAACTCTTTACTTTTGCTATTTTCAACCATGGAAAAATTCTGAAAAAATTCACCAATTCGGCCATTAAAGCCTTAGTAAAGACTTGGTAGTGAGAGTTGATAACTCATCATTCCATTGGCGAATTTTCATATCAAGTTGATGAATTTCTCTAATTAAATGGTGTCTTTTTTCTTCCACCAAATAATATTGTAATGGATGAAAGTTTATTTCATCAAGAAAATGGATCTCTTCTTGAAGATCCAAAATTTTTCTTTCACGCCAATATTATTTCAAATTGACAAGTTTGAATGGCGAAATCCAAATCGTTTGTCATTTCTTACACTTGGCAGTCCCACCGGGCGTGCCAAAAAATGTTGGCTTATTTTTCCTACGAAGGAAAATATCATAAATGCGAGCGTGCCAGCAAGGATTGAAAAATCCTTACAGATTAAATTTAAGCCAATTATCAAGCGATTGTGTTGACGGTTCTTTTGCCTCAAAGAGAGGACTTCAAAATTGTCAAGTGTAGAGAAAAGAAAAAGTAAAAGAAGAAAAAGGGACGGAGAAAGATGATTGAGTGAACAATCAAAGTGATAATTACTTACCTCTACTCCTATGCTTCGAAAAGGAAGTGCATGAAATGCATCGAAATGGAAATACTGAAAATAAATGCTTCGAAATATAAATCTATGTTAAACTACTCCTAAGATAAGGAAAATGACAAGAAATATTGAAATCAAGTGTCTTTGATTATGAATTCTGACTCCTTTACAATGTAGCCATTAATGGCTATTTATAGAAGAAAAAATACAGCAATAACTACTTAGTAACTACCCATTTCTTCCATCTTCATTCTTGTCTTGCCATGTGTCCTTCCACTCATCCACTTGTTCCTCCCACTCATCCACTTTGTCCTTCATATTCTCCATTATCTCTATAACTTCTTTTAACTTCCAAATGAATAAGAGGATGCCACGTGTCCTGCAATTATTATATAAATAATAAATAAATAAATAAAAATTACTAGATTTTGTGTGCTAACACTATGTGAATGCAGCTTAATGAAGTCAAGGAAGACGGGCATCTAGTTGGCCGTGTGCAAGGCTCAAGCTCGCTGTCTACCCTCCATCAGTGTGTATGAATAGAGAGGATAAGGAGAGTTAAAGCGTGTGAGCAAATCGTGAGAGAGCTCAGTGTGAGCAAGCTAGTCTCCCTGTGTGAGAGAGGGGACGTGTGGCTATCATGAGAGAGTGAGGCAGAGAGAGGCTACCTCTAAGGAATCAAGATCCTCTTATTGACTTTTACTCTTTGACTTCTTACTTGCTTTAGATCATTGAGCTCACTTTTAAGCCAAATTTCGATAATTAAAATCGTTCATATTTTAAGATTTGTTAAATATATCATACCTGTAAAAAATTAAATTGATCGGATATTAAGAAGCATGTACATTTTTTTTAAAAATTTAATAAACAGTTTTCCGAACATATATTTTTGATATCCGATCAATTTAATTTTTTATAAGTATAATATACTCAACAAACTTTGAAAAATGAAGAAAAATGGGGGAAAAGAGGAAAAACTTGGAAAAAAATAACCCTAGGAAAGAGAAAATTGGAGAAAAAGTCAAAACCCAGGAAAGTTCACAAAACCCAGGAGAAACTCGAGGGGAATAAGCCTAAAGTGGTGAAATCAAATTTTGTTCGGTTCTAAATGTAGAGAACTAAGACGGTTTTACGAAAAAAGTTTGCGTGGGGTGTTAGAAAGTGTGTATAAAGCACAAATCTAGAGAGAGGAAGCACCTAAAGAGAGAGGGCGAGGATTTTCGATCAAGGTTTCTGAGGAAATGAAGTTTAGAGTTGTATATTTAAAGACCCATGTGTGAAAGGACAAAACTTCCCCGAAACTGCCATGGGTGGCCAGCAAGCCACATCTGTGGATGGCAAGGAAAATGGTGGCCGGCAAGTGGGCGGTGGCCCTCACTTGTGTCCTGATGCTGTTTTGTGCCTCTGTGTCCCGAATGGTGTATAAAAGGTTCTTTTTTTGAGTTCAGATTGATTCTGGGAGAACTCAGAACTGTGTTCCGGCACGCAAACATTCTCCATTTACCAAGATGAATGTAGCCACTTGCCAAGATGAATGCGATGTATCCTTTTTAAGCATGTTGCAACGTCTCCGAGAGGTAAATCTGAGGCCGTTACTTTCATTACTGTTATTTGTTCTTTTTTGTTGCATCGAATATGCGTTTTCACATACACTTGTGTTGCACGCATACCTTGCATTGTTCATGATTCATGCATTGAGTATGCATATTGAGTATGTTTTCAATTAACATTGTACATCGGTTGCATGTCTTGCATGGAACATGCATATCATTATGTTGAATTGTCATCTTGTTTACTTTGTGCATCTATCGCGCTTGTTCGCTTCATACCTTGTTTTATTATCTTCATGGGTTTCATTTTTCAAGGCCTTCTAATCTCGTTGTGTCTAGTTTTGAATTGTTTTCCCCTTTTATTGATGAACAATCGAAGTAATAATTACTTACCTCTACTCCTATGCTTCGAAAAGAAAGTGCATAAAATGCTTCGAAATGGAAATGCTGAAAATAAATGCTTCGAAATATAAGGTTCTTTTGCCTCAACGATAAGATAAGAAAAATGACAAGAAATATTGAAATCAATTGTCTTTGATTTAAGTTCTGGATCCATTACAATGTAGCCATTAATGGCTATTTATAGAAGAAAAAATACAGCAATAACTACTTAGTAACTACCCATTTCTTCCATCTTCATTCTTGTCTTGCCATGTGTCCTTCCACTCATCCACTTTGTCCTCCCACTCATCCACTTTGTCCTTCATATTCTCCATTATCTCTATAACTTCTTTTAACTTCCAAATGAATAAGAGGATGCCACGTGTCCTGCAATTATATAAATAATAAATAATAATAAAAATTACAGATTTATGGTGCTAACACTATGTGAATGCAGCTTAATGAAGTCAAGGAAGACGGGCATCTAGTTGGCCGTGTGCAAGGCTCAAGCTCGCTGTCTACCCTCCATCAGTGTGTATGAATAGAGAGGATAAGGAGAGTTAAAGCGTGTGAGCAAATCGTGAGAGAGCTCAGTGTGAGCAAGCTAGTCTCCCTGTGTGAGAGAGGGGGACGTGTGGCTATCATGAGAGAGTGAGGCAGAGAGAGGCTACCTCTAAGGAATCAAGATCCTCTTATTGACTTTTACTCTTTGACTTCTTACTTGCTTAGATCATTGAGCTCACTTTTAAGCCAAATTTCGATAATTAAAATCGTTCATATTTTAAGATTTGTTAAATATATCATACCTGTAAAAAATTAAATTGATCGGATATTAAGAAGCATGTACTATTTTTTTAAAAAATTTAATAAACAGTTTTCCGAACATATATTTTTTGATATCCGATCAATTTAATTTTTTATAAGTATAATATACTCAACAAATCTTAAAATGTAAATGGTTCGAATTATCAAAATTGAGCCTAAAAGTGGACCGAATAACTTATCAAATAAGAAGTCAAGGAAAAAAATTTAAGGAGACGATCATGATTCCCCTCTAAAGGGGAGGAGCTATGTGGGAGTTGAGTGAAGATGAGTGTTTCCTCTTCTATTATAATCTATTTTTAATCTCTTTTTATAGTGAATCTCCAATTACCGCATTGTTGATATAGATATTAAGTCGAATTATGTTAAATATTGTGTCTTGTCATTATGTTTCTGATTTGTAATGATTTCATGAAGATGTTGGGCGGGATCCCGATCCTATCAACAATTAGATGTCTAATTATGGGTTGTTTTGGGAAGATGGTAAAAAGTGATTTTTTGGCTTTTAACTAAACTTTTGGCTTTTTTAGACAAATGATTTGAAAAATTGGTAAAAAGTGACTTTTGACTTTTTTGATTAATATTTGTTTATGATGTCAAATCATAATAAAATGACCAAACTACTCCCATTTATTTAAAATATTTACAACTTCACCTATGTAACACATTTTGACCCATGAGGGATAAAATTGTAATTTCACCGTTGACTAAAAACAAACTTCCTAAATGAAAAAAAAAAAATCAAAAAAGCCAACTTTTAACTTTTACTACTAACCAAAAAAAGTGACTAAAAATTATGTTGCCATCACACAATAGACTGTAGATTCACGGTTGATTGTTTAAACTAATTTCTCAGCCTAGACTGAGAGGAGAAACCAACTAATAATTCTGAGGGCCTTGCCTAATCCTACAGAAAAAGTAAACCACATTAGCAGTGGGGATAGAAACAAGAAAAATTATAAGATCAAGTTTGACTATTCTAAATAAATATATATTTTTTATCTTTTTATTTATTTTTCATCACATCATCTCTTTATTTTTCTGAATAATTTTTCGTAAAAAGACAAAAAATACACTTATTTAGGTCATCCCAAATAACCCCTAAATCAATACTACTTTTACAAAATATGTATTAACTTTAATTATTAAAATTGATAAAATTCACATCAATTTAATTTTTTTTACAAAATCATGCTATGAATTACAATTTCCTTTATGAGAGATTGCCACTTCTCCCCTCCCACACTATCTAAATGGCGAGAAAATAATTATGGTAAGGCATAAAACATACCTCAATAGACAATAAGTGACAAAAAGAAGAATAAAAAATTTAAATACTCTGATTAGATATACAAAGCACTATTTATATGAATTTAAATATTAATTTTAAACTCTTTAAAAAAAGATCAGAACCCTCTCTAATCCTTTCTTTATTATTAGACTTTGTACTTAACAATTTTTTTATCCATTAAACTAATCAACTACTAAAATAATCACATCCCACTCCACGAACCAATGGTCTTCCACATTCCTCCCTTTCTTCCCTTCCCTTCCCTTCCCTTCTCTTCTGTTCTCTTGTCTACCATCAAAAGATTCTCCAATTAAAAATTACATAAAACAAAACAGTACACTTGAGCTGAGCTCAACACTATCCAAATCCATCGCATTACAACAACTTCAACAATTTCAAGAAACGACGATGGAAATTTGAAAAACAGTTTACAAAATAAACAACAATTTCTTCTACAAAATCGACGGGCAGCAATAACAACTACTCCATCGATCATCATCATCATCATCATCGTCATCGTCATTTATATATACAGATCGTTGATATGAAAACAGAATTACAAAACGCTAAAGAAGAAAGAGATTTGAAGTTACTTAGAAAGAAGGAACGACGCCGTATCCAGCATCGGCGGCGATGAAGGCGGCAGGGGAGGAAGAGTTGTTGTAGATGCTATCGAGCTGGATCTCGGCGCGCTTCGCGAACCTTCCTTTGATTCGAGGTCTGGTCTCTGCGTAGGCCTTCCTCGACGCGTACCGTATCGTCTTCTCGAACTTTCTGTTCTTTCGCTTCTCTCTGTACCTCAACACCCTCGCTTCTCTGTCGATCCCCGACACCGGATTGATCGGGACTGTGTCTGCTGCGTTTTGGTGTCCGAAAGTTGTTGATACGTCCGCCATGGCGTTGTGGTCTGGAACTACTCCTACCTCCAGAGACGACGACGATACCTGTTTCAGTCGTGAATACAATCTTATTAGCCGGTTCATAGATCTAATTTTCTGTTCGGTTACTGAGAAAATATAAGAAAGTTCTATGATCTATTTCAGTTTTGAATTTCTCGGAAGCCAAACAGAGAGGGAAATGATTCGAGATGAGGATCGAATGCATACACTATGGCTGAGAGACTGATGAGAGTTGAAATTGTACAGAAAAGGCTTAGATCCAGAGTAGTCTACGTCGTAGCAAGGTAGACCTTCCACCAATGAAGGAGGTTGTGGCGGTTGTTGAATGTTCTTGATCTGCACCGGAACAACTCCATCGGCTGGAGTGATGTATTGCTGCTGCTGATGGTGCTGATGAGGTTTCTGATCTCCGGCCATGATGTCGAGATCCAGATACGGATCAATATCAGAGAACAGATATTCCGAAGACTTGAGATCACTACTGTCGTCGACGATCTTATGGTTCGGATTCGGAAGCAGCCACGACGCCGCTTCGGCCTCCTCAGCCTCTCCACCTTCATCATCAAAGTAGCGGTCGTCGGCGCCGCCGTGGACGGCGGATGACTTGGCGGCGACGGTTTCTGCGGGCTCGTAAAAAGGAGTGACAGGGAAGCGCTCGTGCCGGCGGGCGAGGGGGTTGGCAGAGTGGATGTCGCGGTCGCAGGTGACGCAGAGAGAGGCGGCGTCGGCCTTGCAGGTGAAGCTCGCCGGAGCTTGTTCGCAGACGTCGCACATCCACACGCGCGCGTGCCTCGAAGCCAGCTTGTTGGCAGCATGGATCTTGGAGTCGCAGCCGACGCAGAGGAACGCCGTGTCCGCCTTGCAAAATAGGGTCGCCGGCGCTAACTTGCATGAGTCACACTGTTTCGCTGCCATACTCCAACTCTCTGCTCCCATGCTTTCTCTTTCTTAAAACTGTGAGTTATACTCTCTCTCTCTCTCTACAATTGCTTGAGCTGGTAATTGTCAGCCTCTGCTCTCCTTCCTTGGCTGGTTATTGGTGGGTTTTCTTTTTTTGGTAAATTACAGTAAATTCCCTAGACCGGGAGAAAATACAAAACATTGCCATATTTTGTTATAATTACACTTATTACTCTTTTAGTAAAATTAAAACAATAATTTTGTGAAATAGGTTAAAAATTAATTAAATTTTTTTTTTAGTTTTTTTTTTATAAAAATATGTAAAAAAAATAAAGAGGTGATGTGACTTAAAAAAATCAAAATTTCAAAAAATTGACTTTTAACTCAATTGCTAAATAAGCCAAAATATAGATTTGATTAAGGTCGAATTGTACAATATTGAGGCCGTTAATTAGGATTTTTTAACTTTATTTGCTTGACAAACTATATATTTTATGCCTGTTTAATATCATTCAGATTTGTATAGAGTGGAAGCATAAAATGAGCATAAAATTTCTTTCCGTACGTGTGGAGGCTCATTCCATCACTTGCAGCCTTTATCTCGCAGCCAAATAGAGCCTTAGCTTACCATACATGTGACACCCCTTCCTGCACGTGCGGTGACCACTCCCGCACGTGCCTGTTGTTTTGAATCTGTTGAAAGAGGCTAGAGGTATAAAAAGATAAAAAAATAAACTGGATTAGGCCTGAAAATTTTGAGAAGGAGAAGAGGCTAGGATTTGGAAGAAAAGCTTTCTCAAGCTTGCTATTTCATGGATGATTCTTCTTCTTGTACCTCTTCCCACTCCTCCATGAGAAGCTAGGTTCTTCATTTTTAGGGTTTTGATAAAACCCTACCCATGTAAGTGTTTTTAATCTTGATAAGTTTAACTCTGAAACTTAACCACTCTACCCATCTCTTTAATTTTTCCTACTTTGTTTCAATTCTAATAAAGTATTATGCAATGATGGAAATGTGAGACTATACATCTGGTTCATTTTCGTTTCCTTTTTCGTTGTTGTCTCATTGTTAATGATTGTTTTGATAAAGATTAAAATAATTAAAAAGTCAAAAAAGTGCTACATAAAGCCCATTATTCTTTTTATTTTTTTACAATTTTTTCATAAAAAATTTAAAAATTAATTAAAATAGTCAATTCTGAAAATAATCCCAAGTATTATATGTGAATTAAATTTATTGGGAGCTTAATATAATATTCCAAATTTATGAGCTTTATTGTATTTGTCTTAAACGTTGGAGGGGTTTGTGTAATTTACTTTTTTTTTCCTCTCTCTCTCTCATCGTCATTCAATCTATCCACTTGGTAGAGGCGATCTGGGGATTGACGAATGAGGGATTGACACGTGGAAGACTGTTAGCCAGAATATATGTAACGTTGAAAGTTAGGGAGTTGTCGTTTGGGAGGAGGATAGGTGTCGTTTTAGGGGGGTGGGGGTCTCCCACGTGAGACGTGCTGGGTTGGATTGAAGTGTGTTTGGCTTTTTGCAATCTCCCATCAAAAAGAAGTGAGAACAGAGTTCATCACGATGGTGAGTTTGGGTCCCACATTGCGGGGACCTATTAAATGTTCCAGGTAGTCTCTGCCCTACTTGGCATGACAAAAGCCAGGTAATGTAATGTAATGTAATGTAATGCTAGAGAAATTACCATTTAGGTGAGGTTTCATTTCATAGTTGTCGATTTTATTTATTTATTGTTTTAAAGAAATGAGTTTTGTTTTTTTAATAAAAAAATAAAATTATTTGGTGTATGCAAATATTTTTAAAATAAAAAATATATATGTTTGATTGTTGCTTGAAGTGGTAGCCGGTGGTGGATAATGTCTTAGGTCTCGTTTGGGAATAAATTTTTTTAGTAATTTTTTAATTTTTTGACTAAAATATGATGTAAAAAAAGTTAATATATTTGGGATGAATTTTTGACTTTTTATGAAAAGATGTGCAAAAAGTAGAGAGAAAATAGAATCTTTGGCTCTGTTTGGTTGTGATTTCAAATCACGATTCAACACCTTAATTCAAGTATGGTGTTTGGTTAGAGTTCTCAAATGATATTTCCAAAACTCTGCAGAAAACACCCTGTCTGAGGGCGCAGTTTTCTGTATTGACAGACGCGTTTTTCAATTTTTTTTAAAAAATTTGGCCTAACGAAACGTCCAGCCGGTGGACCGACCGGTGGACCGGAATAGTAATTTTTTTTTTTTTGCAATTGATATATTAATTTTTATATAATCGAAACAAATATTTTCTGAAATTTTTAAAATTTTTTATGTGTTTTAAAATAATTTTGAGTTATATGTTTAGTTATAAGTTGTAAATTTTTGTATCAAATATCAAATGTCACATCAATAATTTCCCACTCAAATCAAAACTCTTTTCAAAACTCTTTACTAAATAAATTTTCTACACTCAAATCATAATCCCAAATCCCACAAACTCAAAACACAACTCATATTCTCAAATCATAATTACAAAGCACAACCAAACGCAACCTTTGACTTTTTAATATGAGTTGTTGACTTTTTAATTTTTTTAATAACTTTTTAACTAAAAAAATCACTTGCCAAACGAGGTCTTAAATGACGATTGATCCTCTCAGCTTGTTGAAATGAGAGGGAAGAGAGTGAAAATTTATTTTTAAAAGAAGTGAAAACATTTTTTTTTTCTTTTTCTTTTGGTACTTATCAAGTTTATTTTTTTTTAGAAATAATAACAATATACCAAACAACTATTTTCATTTTTAATTTATAAAAATAAATAAATAAATAAATAAATAAATAAACCCCAAACAATCTGTTTTGGAGTACATTTATTCCAGTGTTTGACTATCTGCATAATGCTGGCTTGATGCTGATCAAGAAACAGTAGGTGAGTGTCATAGTCACATACCAAAAAACGAGTACTGTAGTAATAAATTTTGAATTTTTAAATTAATTAGTATTGAAATAACTCCTAATTTAAAGGGTTATTTGTAAAGTAATTGTTAAGAATTTGAAAAATAATTTCTAAAATAATTTGATTAAGAAAGAAAATTAAATTGAAAACCTTAAATTATGAGTTCATGTTCTATAATTGTCCCAAGAAATTTGGAGTAGTTGACTATGATTTTTTTGTTAAAAAAAAAAAAAAAAAAAACCAACGCAGGAAAAAAAAAAAATATGAAAAAATATATAATCTAAGAACTGTAAAACAAACTCAGTAAGTCAAAAATCATTCAAAGTTTATTTGAAATCAGTTTATTAGGTAAATAAACTAAGTTTGAATATATTTTAAAATTTATTAATTTTTTAAATTAAATTTGAACAACTTGCTATTTGACTCAACCTAATTATATGTATATACTATGAAAATCAAGCTACTTAAGCTATACTCGTGTGTCGATCAATTGAAACTTGTTTGAGTTCAGCTTGAAATGCAAACAAATTAAGTTTGAGCATATTTTAAAATTTATTAAATTTTCAGTCAAATTTAAATAACTTATTATTTTACTTTGACTCATTTGGAATGATTGGAATCTTCATCACTCCGATTATAGAATCCCAATGGAATTTAATAATCTCGTTCAGCCTTGATTTTGAATATATGCTAATCAAATCAATTAAATAAAAAGTCTTGATCAAACTAACTAACAACTTTTTGTTATGTTTGGACTTTAATCAACAAGTGGGTAGGAAGAGAAGAAGAAAGCAACCCTAAAAATTACTTGCAAAGTCTCAGGACTGTGGGACATGGGAAAGACTTGACGCGAGTTTGGATTGTTCATCCTCAAATTATTTTATATATGTATTGATGAAAATTTTTAATTATGTCAATCATTTTTGCATTAAAACTCTATTTGAATTATGAATTTAGGTAAAAAAAAATTTAAAATATATAGAGTTTTATGTTGTGTTTAGATCATGAAACTAGGTAAAAATTTGAAAATGAAAATAAAACATGTATGTAAAATATAGGTGAAATGTATTTATATTTTATAAATATTTCACCTACATTTCCTTCCTCTTTTCAAACCCCTATCAAATTCATGAATCAAACACAGTGTTAAGATAAGAAAAATAAGAATGAAATACAAATTAATTTTTTTATCTTTTTAAATTTATGATCCAAACACAACGTAAATAAAACTTCATCAGTGGACTTACAATCCGTTCCATGACCATGGAGTTCTACTACGACTGTAGTTGATTTTTGCCATCAGGTTCATGATTTTGTTAGGTTTTTGGTTCGTTTGATTGATATATATATATATATATATATATGCAATTCTTTGATTCTACGATTCTACGATTCTTTCATTTTGTTGATTTGTTGATATTAGAAACTGTTTAGTTATGTATGCAGAGTTATATACTTTTTGTTCGAGCTTGTGATTTTGATTTGGTTTTTGATATTATTGTTATGATGTTGTTATTGCTGATATTGAATTTTTATTTTGATGATGATATTGAAAGGTTTGAGATATGTATATGTGATGAATATTGAATTTGTTTGTTGTAAAATTGTTTTGGTTGAACACAGTTGTTGGTTTGTTATTTTCTAGTGTGATAAAATTTATTAGTGAGTATGGAAATAGGAGATGAAAAAGTTGCATAGTGGTTTAATTGTGTAGGTAATTTTTGTTAGGGCAAATTATGCAAATAGTCCCTGTACTTTACAAGATGTGTCAATTTAGTCCCTGTAGTTTCAATTTTGCTCGATTTTGTTCCTTAATTTAACGGATTGTGTCATTTTAGTACAATAAATAACGGTTGTTAAGTTAATTTAACAGAAAATCAAACAATGTATCAATTTGGTCCCTGTATTTTCCACAATGTGTCAATTTAGTCCCTATCAAAATCGAAAAAATTGAAACTATAGGGACCAAATTGACACATCGTGTAAAGTACAAGGACTATTTACATAATTGACCCTTTTTGTTATTTTCTATAGTGATAAAATTTCACTGTTGGTTTTTTGGATATGTTTGAGTTGATTGATAATTTCATCACTATATCAGAATTTGTTTTAGTTTGTTTGAGTTGTTTGCTGAAATATAATTTTTGTTTGTGACAAGATTTA